TTAGTACTGAACAAACAATGAAAAACACGTTTGACAACACGGGCTTGAAGACTGTACATTCCTGTACTCTGATTTTATGTGACAGTAGCAAATGTTTTGAGAGGTTGGATGTGTTGCCGCCTTTCCCAGAAATAAACAGTGCAGTGGTTACAGACCCCACCATTCAAACTGGCAGTCATATGCAGCCACACTTAAAATGTTCGTGCCGACATCGAGCTAAAAAACGCAAGCTAACCGAAATAAAAAGTGAGCATTGTTTGGACATACAGCACAGCTTTCATGCCTTTACAACGGTAAAGAAGTTTTGTTTCAGTGGGGTTAAAAAGGATTTCTTGGCAGTTGTGTTGTAAATTGTATCTATAGTAAGAGAACAAATCATGTATGGATTTGGAATTTCAATACAGTTAAACAAGCCCACTTGTTGTTTCCACACAATATTCATACCCCCATTTTCCCGCTTTTCTAAATTGAGAGGGATGTGACAGAAAAATGCTCGATGAAAGACCGGAAAAGACAGTCCGCTGCATTTACCTCCTTCTCGCTGTAAGAGATGTTGCGGATGCCGCTCCAGGGGAAGGATTTGTTGGGGTTGAGTTTGCTGTTGGGGCTGTAGATGTGGAGACCCTGAGCATCCACTCCGAGTAGCAGGTCTGTGTCCCTCTTATTTTGCTGTGAATTGAAACAACAGTAACAGTAAAGGTGACGTATATATCTTTTTTATAAATACCATACAAGGCACCATAATAACACTCACAGTGATGGCGAAGTAGCTGACACCGTACATCTCAAGGTCCTGAGCGATTTTAAGGTATTCCATCTCAGCCTCATCCCTGTATGGACGATGTAAAAATAAAGAAGGGAAGGCATATCAAATTGATCTCATTTGAACTACTGTATTCAGGAAGACTGTCTCTGTGCAGGGCTTCATTTCTCTCTACATGCTGAATTTCAGAATCCCCCCCGGGTGGGTCCTACCTGGCGATGCCTCTGTGCTCGGCGTACCAAGCCGTGATCTTCTCCTCCCACATGTCCGCCGTCATTTGGTATTGCATCAAAACCTACAGGATCAGAAGAATACACATTATGTACTGCATACACACAAACAAACAATGTGTCACTGATCTACCAATTAGGTATATTAAACAGATAACAACAATTTGAAATGTGCACTTACTCTTTTGGGCAAAAGTTCATCTTGTGCCAGGAAGCCCGGCTTATGGAAACTTGGGTCATAGTCCCCATACTGTGATTGAGAATAAAGGGGTGGAAACGAGAACAATTAAAAAAGATGTGGACGTTACTTTTGCATATTAGAAAACTATATATGTGTAAGTCTAACTGAAAATAAAATATTGATTGTTTGCAAAAACACATTGATCTGATCTCCTGCCATTTTCTTATGAAGACAAAAGACGGTACCCAGAAGGGAGAAAATGATTTGAATACTTTTTAAGTCTTATTAAAGTGCGCCGTATTTTCTGTTAGGTCCATACACAGAGAGATACTTTGTATAAAGCTGGTCAAAACATGATATTTAATCTTCAGGTCTTTGCCGAAAGCATACCTGAAGGTAGGAACATGAAGCTTTCTTACCTTGGCCTGGACGGCATAGGACGCCAACAGGACGGACGCTTCAGGGGAACAGAATATCTCTTCATCTAATATCTGCTTTTTGACCTATACAAGAATTTGAAGACACGTAGGAACATGTGTTAATTGAACCAAGGAAACATCTTCCTTCGGCAACAAACATGTTCTATAAATCTTTGTGAATATTACAACAGCCTGAGGAGAGAAAACACACACACACACACCCACACCCACACAGACACACACCTGTAAGAAGAAGAGGTGCTGAGTTATCTCCTGGACGAGCTCTTCTTCTACTTTCTCTGGGAAGAATTTAGCCAGGAAATGAAATGTTATGGGCGAGTCCTTGGGAACCTCCTGGTCCAAGACCTTAGAGAACAAATAAGCACCATCATTTCAGACCAAACTCACTAAAGCCAGAAGTGCATGATCAGTATTTATGTAATAACTTGCTAGCAATAATGTAATTCATCAATCATTACAATAATCAATGAATGAGAGAAAGGAGAATTGACAAACATTAACTCCTTCTTATGCAAAGTTTGCTGTTTTATACAATTACAAACTGAATACTTTCTTTGATTGTTTTTCAGATAAGACAAACAATTTGAAGAGGCACCTTTGGATTGTGTGTTTGAATGGATATTGTTTACATTGTAGAAACAAAATAATTATTTGTTTAATTAAAAGACAATATACAACATGTCTGTAAATGGATAATTATGTTTGTTATAGCCTTCATTTAGTTAGCCTCATCTTTCTAATCTGACTATGCATTGTTGATAATATTTGAACCCCATGACGTCTGGTATCTTGTTCATGTAATTTGTTTTGTTTTATAATCCTCATTTCTCCATTTGACCTTCACTCCTTCACTCACCCGTTTCTCTGGTTTCAGCCAGGCGTAGGTGTCCTTCACTGTGTACCTGAGTCCAAAGAACCAGGTCTCTCTCAAACCAACGGTGCGACACACCAGGTCAAACAGGTCTTTGCCTTGCCACTTCACCTGAGAACAACAGAGAGTGGTAAAGACATGTGAGTTAAGATGCTGAAAGCTAATGTGCTGCTGCTGCTCTGTATTCCCAGTAACTGTTTAAATCAACCAAAAAAACAAGTGATGCTCCTTTTTCTAAAACAGAATATCCCTTTAGTCTTCATGGTAAAATATTGAAGTGACTGATTTGTGAGGGTTTTTCAGTATTGTATAGGTGAGTTGGGCCTGAAAAGTAAAGGATGCCTTCAATAACACAATAAAAAATAATCAATATTATTGAGTAAAAAGCAGGGAGATTATTTCCCTTAGCAAATGTTTAAAACATTTCAATGGGTCAATCATGTTCTAGCTAAGTTGATCACAAGACAAGACGTGGCAGGCATATACATAAATGAGGAAACAAGCTGAACTCTTATAATTTGTATGTAAGTGTACATTAAAATGTGTTAGAACATCATGATGTAATGCAAAACAGTTGTATTCTAATATGCAAGAATGTTTCAGGCTATTCTTCAATAAGCTTGTCCATAAATCTAAGATGTCTAATGTATTGTGAATGAGCTAATAAATGGTTACAAATACAGATTCACACAGTCAATGGGTAAACATTGACATGAACATGAAATAAAACATAGCCCATCCAGATACAGAGATGAATAAAGCATCCCTTTAGGTATAAAGACTGCACGAAAAAATCCTGACCTCACAGCTGAACTCCATCTCAGCATCCATGGTGATAACCTTGACTTTAAAAGTCTTCGGCTGTTTCTTCTTTAACCCGAGGATAGACATCTTGAGGGTGTTGCTGTCAAAATAACCTGTGGAAAAGAACAAAAGTACAAGTATTTCAACATTCAACTGCCTTCAGGACAAAATGTGATAAGACGTGGTACGAATGATGTATTTTAGAGTGGTTTAATGTAGTAAAGTACAAGTACTGTACTTTAGGGTAGTTGCACTTTACTTGAGTGTCTTTATTTCATGCTATTTTATACCTCTACTCCAGTACAATTTGGAAGCCAATATTCTTAGCATTTAGTCCACTACATTTATTTGGCAGTAGTATATACAGATTAGGAGCTCAAACCAAATATGAATAAACTAATACATAAACTATAATATATATTTATAGGGGAACATCCTGCAACAGTATATACAGTTATTACAATCAGCGCTACCTTAAACAGCTGTGAAGAACAATTTAATGTATTTATAAACATAATCCAGTAATTGAATATACATACATCTAGATGCAAATACTACTATCAAGTATATTTTGATGACAATACTTTTGTACTTTTACTTAAATAGGATTTAAAATGCAGGATTTTTACGCGTTACAGAGTATGTTTATACTGTAGTATTTATACTTTTATTTAAGTATAACATCGGAGTACTTCTTCCAATACTGTCAATCACACGTACTGACTGGTAACTCATTGTTTTTAGAGTTTGTGATGCAGGTCAACTAGCTCTCAGGCGATACAAATGTGTTGTTTTAAGCGGTTTTACAGGACACACACAAACAGTTACTTCTTTGTTAAACACAACATGCAGCTGAAATGTAAAAGAGGCCTATTACCAGTGAGTAAAATAACAAACTCCTGCCGTCCAACAGGGCCCAGAAGAGGCTGGGGGCTTTCTGTGTTGTTGGTGAGTCCAATGCTAAGCTAACTGATATTTCTACACAGCGTTAGCATTCCAGCTATTCCACAAAAACCGACCAAAACAAGTTGTAGAAAAAACGGAACTTTTGAACGGTCTCCATAGTGAATCGTGGCGACTACATTTACTTTACGACCATTAAAGTTATGTTTAATATCACTTTAAACAACTTTGCTAACGTTATCGGTAGATACGTGCTGGGTTAGCCTGCTTTTTAATATCAGGAGGACTCCGACTTTCCAGAAGACTTTTGTTTTGAGTAGTCGCTCTACAGGTGGGAACAAGAACAGCAGTTTGGCATAATAGCTACTGCGCATGTGCAAGAATTTGGAAGCATTTATGCTGCTTTCAACGGTTGTCGGGAAAATGGGTTTTAAAAGCTTAAAACAAAAATAACGCTTCATTTTGTAAAAAAATCCAGGGCTTTTAAAAGAAAATGTAATGTTAGATTGTTTTGGATCTGGAGGTGCCATCTATGGTCTGACAGAAAGGAGTTGAAAAAGACAGCCACCTTTGTGTGGTCTGTAACAGTTTTCTACTGATTTACAATCTCCATGACCAAGTAGTAGACGGTATTTGTGTGTGTGTCTCTTTGTGTGTGCTTTCTGTTTTGCACATTCTCTTCAGAGTGTATACTAGCAGGGGATTTGTTTCTGTCCAATTGTCAAGGTTTTTCTTTTGTATTTCTTTTTTAAAGGTTATATTTGTAAATGAAAACATGTGCGTCAGATATTACGGTGGCCGTAAACGCAACAACACGGAAACCACGAACCCCACACAGCTATACATACTGCACTCATAATAATAAAAATACAGTGTGTAATTATAAACATCTGAGGGATCCAACTTGATAAACTACTGAAGAAGAAAACAAACATCGAAGCTACTGTAGGTAACTGTCGCTAACTGCATGTTTATTTATTTTAAAGGCTGGTTGAAGTAGCAGCAGGCTGTGTTTTTAACCATGGTTGAGGTCGGACATGAACAGTGCAGTTCAATCTTTAAAATAGGTTATAGTTATTTACTAATGTAACATTAAGCAATTGAAATCAACATGGGCTTCTGATATATTAGTTGCACTAGTTTCAAATCATTCCCACATTTTCCTGATTTGTATTGACTAATCGGTAACACTATTACCTGTGTAATATCCCAGAATTGATTTGGATATATTTTCAGATTGTTTTGGCTACATATGACATCACAAAATAAATCAAATGAAAACCAAAAAGTAAGGTTGATCAGCTTTTTAGAAAACTAATGATTTATTAGGATCACCATGCCTACTGAGCTCACAGTAAAATAAATCTTATGACAAATGTTGTTTTTGTCATTTTACATTTACTTTTTTGTCATTGCTTTCACCAGGTTTGTATAATGGCAGCCACCACTAAAACTTTGGAAAATGTGAAAGCAAATATCTTATCAGCTCATAAAAGCAGCACGTCGGCAGAAAAGATGGACTTCTACAATTCATGGGCAGAGAACTATGATAAGGTGAGGTAACTGATGTACAATAAAAGGGCATCAGTGAACTATTGGCAGTATTTTTTTCCGGTTACATCTATGGGAAAGTAACTTACTTATTTATGATATTTCTTTGCAGAAATGAAGGGAAACAACAAGTGAAAATAAATACTAAGTAAAATTGTTCAGTCCCAAAAAATAACAATAATACAACCTTTTTCCCCCTATATCTTGACAGATTTGGTTTTGCAGTGCTCTTGTTTACTTTCTTTGTCTGTGCTAAAAGCCACTGTTCCTTGTAAACATTGGTTTGAGTAGGACGTGGCAGTTCTGGAGTACCGGGCACCGAGCCTGGCAGCAAACTGCGTCTCCTCCCATTTCAGCGGTGATCGTGGAGCAGCTGTAGTGTTAGATGTGGCCTGTGGTACTGGACTGGTGGCCAAACAGGTACATTCCCAAGATAGAGAACAAACTCATGCATTTATATAACCCTAGTCAGAATCAAAACTGCATACTTAAGGTTTGAATACAGTAATATTTAGTTTAATATTTGACAAAATATAAAACTAGAAAATATTCTATTCTTTTAGATTGATGTTTAGTTTGTTTCACTTTAGAAGATTTCCACGGAATCTCCTCTCTTCTTGAACATGTTCCTGTAGGTTTGTGAATATTTATGATCACAATTGAATTCAAAAGTGATTCTCTTGTTTACATCAAAAACCTTTATTTAAAACATTTTCTCTTTTTTGTCTTGTGTCTTGAACAGCACATTACCTATCCTTAAATGTTTTCCATGTTATACTGAGTTGACGAGTATGACCGATAAACAACCAGAACTGTCTCTGTTGTACAGATGAAGAGACTTGGATTTGGACACTTTGTGGGTATTGATGGAAGTGAGGCTATGTTGGAGTCGACCAGAGAGAGCGGGTTGTACCAGGACCTGAAGCAGTGCATGCTGGGAGAGGGGCCACTACCTGTCCAGTGCGGTAATACAATGATTTAAATGATTTAAGATGTAATTTATCGCTGTGATTCTAAAGGTTATTCTCAAGTGGGTTGGGTGAGCTCTACTTTAGAAACACATTGTGGGCAAGACTCTTATCTGACATGATTTTATGGCTAGTAATATGGCTACTTCTTTACTCTGCACCTATTCCCTTTCTTTTTCTCCTGCAGGTTCATTTGATGTGGTTGTGATTGTTGGAGCTCTGAGTGATGGTCAGGTCCCGGTTGGTGTCGTCAGAGAGTTGTGCAAGTGCACCAAACCAGGTAAGAGTCTTTTTTGTATTTTGCATCAAATGCAGCTCAGATCATCGGTTGTGCATCATTATGTCTTCACTTTTGGTAAGTTTAGATCCTTCAAAAACACCACTGCACTCTTAACCGTTTCCACCAGGTGGCTACGTTTGCATGACTACCAGAAGAAACCAGGACAATGCAGAATACAAAGAGGCCCTGGAGCGAGAGCTGAAGCAGATGGAGGCCGATGGTCTGTGGACGTGTGTGGAGGTCTCTGAGGTGGAAGACTGGGAGCGAGCAGTGTCAGAGCATGAGGACGGATACATACCTGGTGTTGTGTACCTCTATAAGAGACTACAACTATAGTCGTAAAGGTAGATGTACAAAACACCTCAAGAAGGTAAAAGATATTCAAAAAGTATAGTGTATACACTTCAAAAAGAATGTTTGGACAACATTTTTGACATTGTCTGTCCCTGACAATCCTGAAATGAAAGATGGGAAGCTTTATTCACAGGAATACATTTAAGATGTGAAATGTTTATGACTAAATATCCATGCTACATATTGCAGTAAGATTGGTTTCTGAAAAGACTCAAACTTCAAACTGTTACAGATGTATTTACTATACGTTGTGTTGTTAATGTTATTTTGTACCATTGGTATCAACATTTAAATTGTGATAAAAGATAATTTTGATGATTTCAACACTTATGTGATTTGATGCCAAATAAACCCACAGCCACAAGGATTTCTAGTGGTCTCAAAAAAAAGGTACTGTTGTTTATATTTTGTATTGTCTTGATCTCAAGTTATATAATGTATGTGAATCTAAGGTAGGCTTACATGACGAAAGAAATGTTACTCACTCAAATGCTCGAGGAGGTTTCTACCTTATATCCATTGTGAGGGAATCTATGATTCTCTTAAACCTGAACATATTTAATCTGAAGCATCTTTGCTGTCCAAACTGAGTATTTGTGTTAACACCAGAGCACTTAAGAGAACAGATATGAACCGTATATGGGTGTTATGTGATTTAACAAATTATATATATGAAAGAAATCATGATAAAATACTGCAACTATCACAGAACGGTATTTTATAAATGTAGGCTATTGAGAGAACAGTGAAGAAAAAAGTTTGACTCCCTTCTCTGATGATCCTCAGCCAATCTAAAAGGTCTGACGAAACGGTTGTTTGATTGTGTGTGTTTGTCTGTGTGTGTATTAATAAACACAGTGTATGCACAGCTGTGACTGAAAAAGCGCTTATCATGGTAAAAGTGTTCCACCAGCCTGAAGCAGCTTGAATTTTCTCACCTTGAATGAGACTATCAAACAGTAACACTTGTTGTTTTTCCCATTCGCTCAGCCAGCTGACGTTTGGAGACTACAGTATATAAGATCTCCACCCCTGTGCCTGTGCAGACCTATAACTCGAGAATGAGGGTTGCTTTTGGTTTGCTGGTGTTGCTGCTAGGCCTGTGTGGGTCCGGGGCTCAGGGGGAGAGTGGAGGCCTCGGTGAGGAGGGGGAGAGCAGCGAGCTTCAGGAAGAATGGACCCAGCAGACCACAAACACAACCTCGCCTGACATCTGGGTGGAAATGAAGGAACTGAGAGACATGGTGGTGGAGCTCAAGGTGTACGTGCAGATGCTGCAAAAAGATACCTCAGGTACTGAGTTTTCACTTTTCCCGTTCAGTGTTGATTATGTTTTTTAGTTTGATTGACGTGTGTGAACTCATCATTTGAGTGCTGGCTCAACAGATAAGATGAGTATCAACACTGTATATCATTTGTTCTGCATGTTAGCAGTTTGCAACTCTGTTATTCACTTTGTTGCATTCATTTCAGAGATGGCGGGAAGACTGACCAGCAGTGAGAGGGAACTTCTTGATAGCAAGAAAAGGATTGACAAGCTGGAGAATTTAAATACAGGTGAAGATTGTAATCTCCGTATACACACACACACACCACACACACACACACACACACACAAACCTTTTTAGTCCTGGTCAAGTTAATAATATCATGCATTGACTATTTTTGTTAACAGCGAACACGAAGGTGGCCTTTTACACAGCTCTGACTGATGCAGGATATGTCGGCCCATTCACCACGGACACCACACTGAAATTCAGCAAGGTCTTCACCAACATTGGCATTGCTTACAATGCAGATACAGGTAATGTTCTGTGGGTGAGATGACAATATGTGGTAATTTAACCCTATCTAAAGTGTTACATTTTCCTTTTTCTACTCTTTAGGTTTCTTCAAAGCACCAGTCAAAGGAGTCTACTACTTCCAGTTCACTGTGTGTGGTCACCACACAGGTCTTATGGGTGTATATGTGTACAAGAACAACCAGAAGATTATGTTCAATGTGGAGTGGAAGGAAGATCAACTTTATAAGTATTTCACTAACTCTGTTATCTTGGAGTTGATGGCAGGAGATGAAATTCACCTGGCTCTCCCGGCTACCCACGTCCTGTATGACGACGGCAGTAACCAGAGCACCTTCAGTGGAGCTCTTCTCTTCCCACTGTGAGGATGTTGTTATTTAGGCTGCTGAGTATTTGATTTGTCACCAACTCTGATTGTATTGATACACTTTGATTCTTAAGATGCTACTCTTAAGATTCTGATGTAGTTCTACAATTGTTTGTACACGTATCAAATATGTTATTCTGAATCTGATGTTCCTCTTGTTTCATCACATACAGTACAGTAACAGCAATATTCAAATAAATAAAAGAGTAATTTAAGTTTTGCTTGTTATCATTAAGTGTTTGTCTCCATATAAAAACTTGACCTGCAGGGCAGTGATGTTCACTTACTGTAAATGATGTGAATCTGGATCAAACTTATAAAGGTCAGTAACTGTCATGTCATGTCTGTAATGTATCATAGACAATAGAAAATGGGGCAACTTGTCTTGTATCAAACAACACTACTTTAGTGTTAGTAATTGATTTAGTGGTATGTAGGGTGACGATGGTGATGCAAATTGAACTTACAGACTTACAAGAAACATGCTCATGTGTACTATAAGTCCTGCAGCAAAGTACAAAAGCAACACAAGTTTTATTTGTGTTTGTGTGATAATACACACTAACAACAGAAAGTTGTTTCTTTTTTTTGTGGCAAGTTTAAAGCATTAGATGTTGAATCTAGATACATCTTCCTAATTGGGCTGTAATACATCTGCCGGTAGATTGGGGATAGATCTATTGTTGGGCAATTGTATCTTGCTGAGTCTGATGTGTGTACACTAATCACTAGATGGCAGGGTTTCATAAAACTATGAGACAACCTGAATATATCAATCCTATGGTTGAGTTGCCAAACAGGTGGTCATGGATTAGAGCCAAATATTGCTCAAACCTAAATAACTTTTTTTTTAATATTGACTTGTTTAGTGCAGTTTTATTTTTAAAACTTAGCCTACCTTACAACATGTATTTATTTCTTATCTATGTAGTTCCAATTGTACAGGTGTATGTCATGTATTAATCCAACACATATTATTCCTGATGTAAAACTTAGCAGCTTTAAAATATGACTAGATACTGTACATTTGAATAAGCAAAACCCACTGAAACCAAGTTTGAATGCTCTACAAACACACTGTGTATCTCACCCTGCTCACCTGCTGTAAACACACTCTCTGTCAAACCAGTTTGTCCTGTAGATTTAAAGGAAGAGGAATGAAAGGCCGGTGGATGCTGTGTACTCGAAAGGATAGGCTCTTTTCAGGTCATTTGTGACATTTAGATCAGGGAAAAAATACTTTCTCAATCAAATGATATACATTTAAGTCATTTATTGAGAAGTTAACATACAATTATATAGTCACATGTGTACAAATAAAATACAACACTTTTCACAGTTGTAACAAAAAGCAGAAGCTAAATCCAAAAAGTGTAACCTTTACATTTCAACAAGTGAGTTTTTCATTGTCGTATAGCTCATCAAATGATCGCTTACATGAATAAGAAAAATACAATCCAATCAATATAAATGAATGATAGAAAAAGGGCAAAAATATCTTATTTCTTCATTACTTATGTTGCATCCAGGTTACTGTGCATCAAGCAGAAACCAACAAACTAAAAAGTCTGAGGTAAAATTCACAACGCAGAGGGATTCATTATCATTTTAGTGCATTGAAACAGTCAGAGCAAAAACTGGTACAGGTGTAATGCTATACATCTTAAATTGAACTTGTTAAAATGAATGCCAACGATCAATTCCATTAAACACGCATACTTACTTTCACCTACTTTTATTTGACACTGCACTTTGTTTTAGGTTCAGTTTAAGTGCATATAACATGTTAAAGCTGCTATTCTCCTTCATATTGATGAATAGTTAAACTATACTTTTCCCGTTTGTCCTCTAAAAAAAGCAACAAGGTGGAGTATAAACGGTATGTAAATCCAATCAACTATTCTTCATCAGTAAACAGTCACACAAAAAGTAAACTACCTCTTCTAAATCACCCTTAAAATAAAAAAGTTTGTAATGTGTGGTAAACTTAAGTACGCATGCGTGATCTTATTTCATATGTATGTCCTCGTTGGATTTGAGGATGCATCCTCATTGTCACTCTCAACTGATCCATTCTCTTCTTCTGCTCGTTTTAGCTGAGACTTCGTAGACGGCGCATCACTGTGTTCAGACTTTGCAGAGTCCAGTCTTTTCACCTGAGACTTTGTCGATGGTGCCCATGATTTTTCTGACTCCAGCCTCGAGCCCTGGTCCGGCTGGTCTTCCCAGGGCGGCCTTGTGTACAGAGGAGGTTTTGTTGATGAGCCTTGAGACCTGGGAAGACCTCCGACAGGCTGAGATGTTGCTGCTGGTACTCTGTTGCCTTGGGAACCTGGCTTGGTGGACCCGTTGGAGGAGCGGACCACCAAATAGCGGACAGAAGGGCTCTTGTCTGCTTCGTTTGCTTTGAGGGGGCATGCTGAGCTGATGAACAACCCCCCTCCCAGCATAAGCAGGATGGACGCTCCCCAGCCGATGTAGATGGAGGCTCCGATCTCCCTACGTTGAGCATCTATGGCGGCGCTGTAGAAGTTCTTCACCACGGACCCTGCCGCCCACGAGGTTGGGATCAAACACAGCAGCCCTGTTACAATCAAAACGACCCCTGCTGCTACAGCCACCTTGCCCTTAACCCCACCTCCTTCCTCGTCCAAAAAGCGTGTGCACTTCCCTCCGACGAAGGCCAGAATGAGGCCTGCGGCGCCCGTGGCGATGGCGAGGACGATGAGAGCCCTGGCCGCCTGTAGGTCTGCGCTGAGAGCAAGGAGAGAATCGTAAGGTTTACACTGGATCTGCCCCGTGCTCTGCACCACACAGGTCATCCAGATGCCCTCCCAGATGGTCTGTGAGGTGACGATGGTGGTTCCCACGAAGGCCGTGACCCGCCATGTTGGCATTATGCAGCTGATGATGACCCCTGCCCAGCCCAGGAGGCACAAGGCGCTAGCCAGCATCTGCATCCCTGTGGAGGCCATGACGTCGAGGTGGAGGGAGGAATCCTCACAGACCCTTGAAAGTGCTCTAAAGTTGTTATTCTTCTCTGTGGAGCTTCTTTTGCTCTAGCTCCTTGCGACTCTCCTCTTGTTTCTTTCTGTGTCAGTCTTTCTCAATGTGAAATGTTGCGTTTTTCAGAGCCTCCATTTCGTTCTTGCCTGAGTTGTAATGTTGTATCTGTCCCAGGAATGCGACTATTTCTGCTGTGCGTCCAGCCTCCAGCAGCTTTATCGCGACTCCAGGTGTGTCTGTGTTCAGCCTCAGTTTATTTGTTTACAGCCAGCTTGTCTTCTGTCTCTGTCCCTCCTACCTCATATCCATAAGTGCTGTCCCCTCCTCCCTCTCTCTTCTTATTTCTCTACCTGAGAGTGCTCTTTCTCGTCTGTCATCTGAGCGGCTGCCTGTGTGCTACTGCTCAGGTGTGGATGCACCACACCTACTCTACAGGGAAACAAAAGGGGGAGGAGGATGAGAGGAAAACAGAGCGGGAGAGAGAGAGAGAGAGAGAGAGGCAGCTGTGAAACTGTGACATCATCTATTCCCTCCTTCATTATCTTGGTCTGACGAGATTATTTTGGAAACTAAGCTCTGGATGAAGCAGAAAGAATGATAGGCCCCTGGGCAATCATCATATTTATGAGATGCACATCTTATATTGTTCACACACCATCCCCCTGCATAATCACTGAAAATGGATTGCAAATCTGATTCTATTCAGAAATGTAACACTTGTTGGGGCTCAGTGTGTGTGATCATACACATCCTGCGTGCACGCATCCATGTAACAAAAGGAGAAAGACGTGAAACACAATCTCCTGGGAGACAAAACCAGTTTCATTCTAGCAGTGGCCTCTCTGTAGATAAACCTGTTTGAAACAACTCCCCACTCACACACACACACACACACACACACACACACACACACACACACACACACACACACACACACACACACACACACACACACACACACACACCACACACACACCACACACACACACACACACACACACACACACACACACACACACACAAGAAACCCAACTCCCAAAGCCCAACCCAACAGCTTTTTAAACTATTTGATTTGGACTCAACCACAATTGTTTTAACGTATGCTTTGTGATGTGACTCCTGTATTCTTAGAGCGCTTTAATAAAGGGTTAAACTTTCTATCTTGATCAAATAGCAAGAAAAAAAAAACACATCATTCATAGTTTGAGTTTTATTGACATTTCAACACATTTCAATTCAAGCACTATAAAACATTTTACAAAGCATTTTATATTTTTTCGACAATATTTTAATTACACTAAAGTAAAAAAATCTACTCAACTCATATACATCCTATTGATGTTGAAACAAACATCCTATAACAGCAAAAATCTCCTTTTTGACTACTAACATTCAGTGTTCTTGTCTCTATGTGATGGAACATCTTCTAATGAGGCTCAAAATAAAGTTATGGGATATCTTTTTTGTGTCAATTAATATTTCCACAAACAAAGTAATTACAAACTAAATGTACCTTTTTTCGTAATATTATTTCCTCTCCATCATGCAAATGTTTACAAAGAGGATCACTCCAACAAGATAATACAAATAAATAATACTACAAACAGACACACACACAGTTATGGCTCAGTCTCTTTTTATTTAGCAACATAACTGAAAAAACAACACCCTCTCACATGCTCACTTCTCAACCTCATGCGTCTTATAAATGACTTACATTTTAACGGTATACATTAATACAGAGATAAAATCTGAAGACAATTATAACTTAAACAGATATTGTGAATCAGTCACATAATCAGCAATCGTCTAGTTTGATAGAGGGGTTAAAAACATCTGTCTTAGACAGAAAATATTTAATACATAGCAGGCATATTTTAAATCTCACACATCATGGAGCACATGTGAGAGTATTTGACAAATGAATAGTATAAAATTGTGTCAATACTGGTGTGTATTCACATATAGTGAAATACAAAACTGCAAATATTCTAAACTTGCGTCCAAAGACAAAAACCCATGCTAAGGCCACACACTCATCATATTTACTGGAACACATTATGAGCATTGTTATTCAAGATGGCTGACTTAACTTCATGGGTCAAACAGAAAGGGAAACGTATATAAACTCCTATTTCTTTAAAACAGATTGTCCCAATTCTGCTTTCTGCTGTAGATCTAAACGTAGGCCTTGCTGCTGTGCTCAGAGCGAGTCTTGGCGTACTTCACATCGTATTCCTTCTCAACTCTGGGGGGACAGGAGCTGCAGAGGAGCCCCCCGCCCAGGATCAGCAGCCCTGCGGAGGCCCAGCCGAGGTACAGCGAGGCCCCCAGCTCCCTCCTCTGAGCGTTGGACATGACGGGGTTGTAGAAATCACGAATGATGGTGTTGGCAGTCCAGCAGATGGGGATCAGCACCATGACCCCTGCGATGATAAAGATGATTCCTGAAGCGATGGCCACTTTGCTCTTTTCCGTTTTGTCATCTATAAAGTTGGTGCACTTGCCCCCTGCCAAGCCGAGAATGAGCCCAAAGAAGCCTGCGATGATAGCGATGATGACGAGTGCCCTGGAAGCCTGGAGGTCTTGAGGCAAAGCCAGCATGGAGTCATAGATCTTGCACTGCATCTGGCCCGTGCTCTGGGTCACACAGTTCATCCACAAACCCTCCCAGATCACCTGAGCAGTGACGATGTTGGCACCGATGAAGGCTGTGACTTTCCAGGTGGGAAGAGCGCAGATGACGATGCTCCCCAAAAAGCCGATGATAGCCAGGATAAATCCGAAAATCTGTCTTCCACTAGACACCATGATGAAGCTCTGTCTGAAGACTGTGTTGCAGAGTGAGTTATTTATCTATGAGGCCGACAAAGGAGCCGGTCGAGGTTTGTATTGCCCACTTGAAGGACAAGTTGAATGTGGCTGCCTCACTTACAGGTTTAGTTGTTGAGGGAGAAATCAGAGGAGGGTTTTACCGCGGTTTCCTCTCAGCTGAAACTAGTTTGTGAAGAAATCTCACTTGACGAGATGCTTCTCAACCGATAGTGTGACACAGCGGCCCCTTTAAAGGTAACATAACTGAAAAACATACACAGTCAAGCTATGTTTCCCTTAAAAACACAAACTAAATGTTAAATGATTCACTTATAATTAAGACAGTCTTTTGTTTGGAAGATACAAATTCTACAAGAGGGACCATGTGACTAATATGTCACTGGGCTAACCTCAAAGTAAGTTTCAAAGTTGATCTTGATACATTTTAAAGGAAATTAGACTGTTTTTCACACCTGTGAGACCACACAGTTTCAATGTATTACTAATGCTGCTTTTTCATTCATGTAACTTTTAAATACAAAATAACTTCCTAAATCCACAAGTTAAGAATTTCCTCTTAAGAAATCAACATTCTTACAGTAGTTCTGAAATATGTGACATTTATTCACAGTGAATGTAAATGCTCAGAGATACTCTTCCACACTTCCTGAGTGATTACACAGCCTATCGATACTGGTACAGAGTGATGACATGAAGGTGTTGAATGCTCACATGACAGCATTCCCCCATTTCCTTCTAGCAGATGGAGGTCAGCCACAGAGCTCCACCTGTGGATGTGGCCTACTGTCTTGCAGCAGCTATGTGTTGCATTGTAATGCAAAGATTGTCCTTGAACACAATGTGACACTTTAGCACTTTGTGCTTTGTCGTGGCATTTAGGAGGAGCTGACTCATTGCAGTTTATCAAACTATAAGTAAATAAATGAATACGGAGGAAGTCTTTTTTTCAGTTCTGCATATAAGACAAGCCAATGCAGTGAATCCACATGTTTTTTAATCACAACATGTATTCAAATAATATCTGTGGGGGAAGAAAAGGAAAAAGTTCTGAATGTGAAACCTGACCTATTCAATGTGTGTTGAAAGAAGAGTACAACTAAATAAAAGGTTTTCTGATCATTTCCAAATAAGTAGCTTTAAATGTGCTGAAATATTAATATTTCACAATGTTAGTATGTATTGTGTCATATTGTTCCAGTTTTTCATTGAGGTTTATGATGTGTTTAATGTTCAAACCTATTTACTGAATTAAGAAACTCCGCTAGAATTAAAATAAAGTTTCTGGACTTCTTGGATTTGTAATACCCACCAAAGGGCGGCGCTTGTGAAACAGGCATCCTGAGGAATGAGTATTGATCTATCCAAATTAATTAATTAGAAAATTATCATTCTTTAACATGTCAACAGAAACTTAGACGTAAAATGGCATAATGCCCCACAGCTCAGTATGATGTATATTCAGAGAGTTGCGCTCAGGCAATATGGCTGCCGTGTCAAACAACCTCACGTCTGGTTCTATATATAACATAAAACAAAAGTGATTGAGTGTCGGTGCTGGATGCAGCGTTGGAGTAGGAAGATGGGTTTCTCTCCCCAGAGACGCAGCACATCACAGCACCGCCGAGCAGGAGCAGCATGGAGGAGGCCCAGCCGACGTAGATGGAGGAGCCCACCTCCCTCTTCATGCCCGCAGTCACTGAGGGGTATTTGAAGGTTGAGATGGTTGCTACTGCCGACCATCTGACTGAAGCCAGGCACAGGACGCCAGCTAGGACACACAGACCTCCACCGAGTAGACACACCTGAAAAAACAGAGGATATCAGTGATATTGAACATCAATGATCAGTGATTCTGTGCACTTCTGAAGTTGTTTGTGTAAGAATGATGAATAGCAGTACATATTGGTGTCAAGGTGGGTTTTATATTAAGGCCACAGTAGTAGTCAACAGACACACATTTCCAGCATTTGTCCAGTGTTGCAATAAATGTCAAAGTTTAGCCTTCCATGCACTGACCTAAACAGTGCACTCTACAGGCAGTTACTAAAATCAAAAGCAGAAAAGTATATTATTTTATTATTTCCAAACATTTGGATGCAACTGAAATACATAATTTAAAGGGGATTTAAAGGTGTGGAGAAAAGTGTTTTGAAAAGAAGTGAAAAAACATTACAAAGTTTAACTTTTGGTCTTGAATTTTGTATTGATTGAGCAAATAATATTGACGTTAAAATAAGTAAAATCTTAGCCACTTTAACTCGACACTCTTCCTATAGCATTCAAATTGAAATGCCCTCCATTTTCATTGTTCTGGGATAGTAAAATGTTAAAAAGTACTTTGCCATGATATATATTATTATCATCAATACAGTTTCCTTGCAGATCCCCAAACACCCATTCTTCATGATTTGAATTCAACTTCTGCACCTTTACTCATGAATGAAGAGGTGGTCGGAGGCTCTGAGGGCTCAGGTGTGGCATCACTGCAGTTGTTTCCGCCTCCTCAGAGGGGCGTTACAACGAAGCCCAGCAGGCCGGTGAAGATGGAGATCAGTGTGAGGGCACGTCCAGCCCAGATATCAGCGGTTTTGGTGATGGATGTGTGTCTACTGCACTCCATCTGCCCTGTGTCCTGAAGGATACAGTTTACCCACAGACCAGCCCACACCTAAGACAGAGACAGAAACAAATTTGGCTCAATTTTGAACATTTATAGAAAAATGTACTATCAGCAGGTTGCTTGGTACCTCACATTGCAACTTTAAGTTTTAAATATGTTAAAGTCATGTATTGGTGCATACTTCAAAAATCCTATTAGAGTCTTTTGGTATTTTATTTTTAGTCATGATGTTTAAGTTATATTGAGGAAACTGAGCTTTTTCAATGCAATGCAGCATTTTCATGTGTCAAAGTTTGCAGGACTTTGACGTCTTCAAACTTTTTTGTTTAGCTGATTCAGAATGTATTATTTAAAGTGTACAAAGTGTATTTGTTTTAGTAAAAAAAACATGGTTGATGATCAAATTTTACTTGCGAAAGTTTTTTGGGGGGTGACATAAAACTCATGAGATGCACAAAATCAACTCACCAATTGTGCCTTTGCTCCCACAAAAGATGTCTGACGCCACATCGGTAGTCCACATGTCAAACACACTCCTAAAACACCTATTTGAACCAAGGTCAAACCCCCGACTTGTAAACACTGCCCTGCCATTTGAAGACATTCAGTTATGAAGCAAAAAGCTCAAACCAAATCTAATTCACAAAATGTTCAACTGTGACCGTCTCTTTTCTTGGTTCTGCTGAAATAGATTGTAAGCAGCTCTGATCAGCTGTTGAGTTCAGAAGTCGAACGACACAAAGACTAACAAGGATATGTAAACATGGTCCAGGAGTGCACATTTACAAAGAGTATTCAAACACCACTGAGCTACAAACATAGCAAGTTATTCAGGCTTTCAAACTGAAATGGCTGATAAAGAGAACAGGTTATCCTCAAGGTTACAATTACTTCTCTTTTCTTGCATCATGTGTATCTAAACTTTTTTGGACTTGAACAATTTTTTCAGTTGTTTTAATAATGTTAGAGACAATAATGCAGAAGTGTTTAAACAAATATACAAAGTGAATTTAATGGTTTGTTAACATAAAAACATACAAAGCATGTTGGCAAAGCATGCCAAACACATTGTTCGATTACTCAATAGGGGAAAAGATTTGAAAAAGTCTACCAGAGAAATGTTTAGTTTTTTCCATGTAAAATTCAACTAATTTCACAACAACAACAAAGAGTAAACAATAACTTTTATCAAGATTTTTCTGTTTTAAGATTCTTAAAGCTATACCTACACATTTCAAGAAACAGACCGTTTGGAAATACTGTTTAAAATGATAAAACCAATCATATTTCAAACGGATTACTCTTGCATCGTCTATAGTGTTCTTCACAAATAAAAAATGATTACATAAACTCAGATCTCTGTATCAAACATCTTTTTACAGTTAACATCCTATAATATCACATTATATAATTATTGGCTCAACTTAACTTCATTTGTTCATCCTTCACTTTAAAAAACAACCATAAAAGTTGCATTCCCTGGTCATGCCATTAACTTTTCACTCCACATTTGCTACACACTTTAATAATTTACACAGATTAGAGAAACTGTCATTAGTCATTTTACTAAAGTTGAATAACTCCAGATTAAGTCCATTACAGTAAACACATTACTGCACATATTCTACAGTATATGACGAAAGGCGCCCTGTACTCTCTGTTTCTCTCTTCTCCTGGTCCTCAGCATCTGTAGGTGCTACACAGCACCCCTCCTCCAATGATGAGCAGAGCTCCAGACGCCCAGCCCACATATATGGAGGCCCCGAGCTCCCCCCTCCTCCCCGAGGTGGGCAGAGGATTGTAGAAACCTGTGATGATGCCGTGTGCCGACAAGCTGACGGGAATAACACACAGGAGGCCTGCTATAATAAACACCACACCTCCAGCCACGCCGATATTAGCTTTGTTCCGCCTGTCATCATCATAGAAGTTGGTGCAGCGGGCCCCGACCACAGTGAGCCCGATCGCCACAACGCAGACAGCGATGGAGACGCAGATCAGAGCCCTGGAAGCCTGCAGGTCTTGTGGTAAAGCCAGAACGGAGTCGTAGGCCTTACACTGAGATTGACCTGTGCTCTGGATTACACAATTCATCCATAAACCTTCCCAGAAGACCTGAGAGGTGATGATGTTTGCCCCAACGAAGGCCGTCACCTTCCACATGGGCAATCCGCAGATAAGGATGGTGCCAAAAAAGCCGATGATTCCCAAACACACACCAACAATTTGTGTCTGCATTCTGCCAAAAAACAAATCCAAGGCACGTATTTAAATTTGCCACAAAGTCAAAGAGAGCAACAAAGTCCTCCTAGAGTTAAGCTGAAGATCATTTTAAATCACAAGCTTTCACCCGGCTGTAAACGCAGCAGTGGCTGTGTTTTGCTTTCTGGTTTTGCAATGCTTGTGTAAGAGCAAAAGGGAGGAGATTGCTAGTTTGTGGATCAGGTTTCCTGCTTGTCCTGATTCCGGCTCACTGAATAAGAAGGAGGAGCCCTCATGTATGAAAGACTGCTTTGTGACCCAAAAAAAAGGCTTTAAAAGTAACAAATGTAACAATTTTGAGTAAATGAAAACTTATCTGCAGGTCAAACTTTAGCAATCACTTTAAATCCTGAGATTCTAAATAAATGCTTCAGTTTCGGAGAGAAGCATCCTACCTGAATGACCACATAGCTTAGGGGAACAAAAGAGTATCAAATTACCCGTTAAGTAATGTTCAGTGTGACAAGCTAGACAAAGATATTTTCATGAGCATAATGCTGGTTTAATTTACTGCAGAAAGAATCTTCCTTATCAATACTGGAGGCAGTTTTTATATCTAAAACACTTATAAAGTGTGGGAAAAACTCTTTCCAAAGATCAAATCATGTCTTTGCTGGAAATATGAGGCCATATCCAGCAGGTGGTCAGCATAGCACAGCTAGGCTCTTTGCTAAGCTGAACAGCAACACCGCTAGCCCGGCCCTTTCAGCAGTAGGCCTTACATTCACCAATATAGTTTTAGAGTATGTAGCAGATTTGTTTTGGTCTAGACTAAATGTAGATTTAAAAATATAGCTTCCCAATTGACTTCAGGTGATAGAAGGCAGGTTGTTAACTTTGGAGAGCGCTTAGCTAGATTTGAGCAAATAACTGGAGCTGTCATAACCAAACCACCATTTTAAAACCTCTATTCACTTAAACATGATGATCCACCTCCACAAAACAAGCAAGGTTATGGGTTCATAAAAAAGTAAAATTTATTAAAAATTAAACAGTAAAAACACTTTAAAATCATGAAGTGAACAGCCTAAACATTATAGGTCAGTCCAGTTTCCTAGAGAAAGTATATTCAAACGTAGGCTCCTCCACTGGGTGCAGAGCGTGGGGCAGAGTATTTGGCTGAGTATCCGTTGTCCTTACTCTTTGGGCACTGGCAGCAAAGAAGTGCACCTCCAATCAGCATAAGTCCTGATGCTCCCCAACCGATGAACAGTGCGGCTCCCAGCTCCCTCCTCTGAGCGTCGTTCATAATGGGGTTGTAGAAGTTTCTGATGACAGTGTTGGCAGACCAGGACACAGGGATCATGCACAGGATACTACTCACGATGAAGAACACACCTGCAGCAATGGCTACTTTGCTCTTGGCCTCCTCATCTTCAATGCAGTTGGTGCATTTTCCCCCTCCAACGGCTAGCATGATTCCCATTAAGGCCACCAAGATGGAGATCACAACCAGGGCGCGGGCAGCTTGAAGGTCGAGGGGCAGAGCCAGCATGGAGTCGTAGACCTTGCACTGCATCTGGCCCGTGCTCTGCATCACGCAGTTCATCCACAGGCCCTCCCAATAGGTCTGCGCCGTGATAATGTTGCTTCCAATGAAAGCAGACACCTTCCACATGGGCAGGGCACAGATGATGATGTCTCCAAGAAAGCCGATGATTGCCAGGAAGATGGCCAAAATCTGGAGACCTGCAGATGCCATGTTTTCTCTCTCGTCAAGCAGAAGCTAGAAGGAAATGTAGCTGTTAGAGATCTCACCTGCAGCTTTTATACCCACATGGTAGGCTGTGGTCTCTCCTGATTGGTTGTTCAAAATTGTTCAAATTGAAAACACCTGTGCTCATTAAGCGAGTGTCAGGCACCGATTGGAGGAAGTAGAAATGAATTATGATGTGAAGGTTACACATTTTTTTTAAATGTTTAGCCTTTAATACAAATATAAACTCAATCAATACATTCTGAAATACCTCAACCAATTCCCAACAATGATTTATATATTAATCTACAATATTATCTAATATTCTTTCTCTTTTTCTTGCTAGACCAAGATATTTTCAACAACGGTGAATTTAATGGTTTAATTTACTGCAGAGAAAATCTTCCTTATCAATACTGGAGGCAGTTTATATCTAAAACACTTAATTATAAAGTGTGGGAAATACACTCTTTCCCAAGATCAAATCATTTATTTGCTGGAAATATGAGGCCACAGCCAGCAGGTGGAGTTCAGTATCAACACCTTAGCACAGCTTGGCTCTTTGCTAAGCTAAGCAGCAACACAGCTAGCCCGGCTCTTTCAGTAGTAGGCCTTACATTCACCAACATTGTTTTAGAGCAGGGATGGGCAACTTGGATGGTGGTGGGGGCCACATAATGTATGTACTGGCCACCAGGGGGCCGCAGATTCACTTGGAACACACAAATTCCATGTATTGTATGTAATTAACTAATTAAGTCCGACATCTTACAATCTTTCAGGGAACATCCTCTAATAAGCTCGCTAAACAAATATCAGTTCACAGAAATGTTATTTCATTTTTACAAGTGGCATGTTTGTATTGAACAGGTTATTTAACAGTGGAATAAAACTATTTTAAACTATTGGAAAGCACGGAAAATGTGTGTGCATTAAGATTAACCATTAAGATGACAAACATGAAGTCATGAAGACTAACCCAGACATTAGTTGTCTAACTTGAACCTAGCTAAGACACTTGTAGCCTGTCTCTGCTGACGCAAGGGGAATGTCAACACAGACACCTGTCAACCCGCACTCTGCTGTTCCTCAGCGCCGCTCCCCCTCCCTCCCGCTGAAATTATGAATGAAAAGCATATAGTAATCATAGATAACACGGCAGGGTCCGTGACAGTTTGTTTTCAAATAAACAAAGTCTTGGTTATTAGAATATTAAACTTGTTTCGCCAAATTCAGATAATGCAACTTTTAAGCTTGTAACGGCATAATTACAAGCGGCAACTTAACGTTGAAGCAGGCATAACAACAGCCGGTGTTTCTTGTGAGTGTTTCCCCGGGAAACAAATACAATACACACAAACGCATAACGGTATTTGGATGCCGAACGAAATCATGTACGCTGCTCGCAACGTAACTAGGAGTCTAGTGGATAGTATCAGTACTACAAGTAAAAAAAAAAAAAAAATATATATATATATATATATATATATATATATATATATATATATTTTTAAATTAAATTGTTTATAAATTAATCTGAGGGCCGCAAAAAGAGGAGGTCGGGCCGCCATTTGCCCATCCCTGTTTTAGAGTATGCAGACTTATTTGTCTCGACTAAATGTAGATTTAAAAATATAGCTTGCCAATTGACTTCAGGTGATAGAAGGCGGGTTGTTAACTTTGGAGAGCGCATAGCTAGATTTGAGCAAATAACTGAGGAGCTGTCATAAACAAACCACCATTTTAAAACATCTATTCTATTAAACAAGATGATCCACATCCACAAAACAAGCAAGGTTATGGGTTCATACAAAAGTAACATTTATTAAAATAAAACAGTAGGAACACTTTAAAAATCATGAAGTTAACAGCATAAACATTATAGGTCAGTCCAGTTTCCTAGAGAAAGTATAGGCTCCTCCACTGGCTACGGAGCATGGAGCAGAGTATTTGCCTGAGTATCCGCTGTCCTTACTCTTTGGGCACTGGCAGCAAAGAAGTGCACCTGCAATCAGCATAAGTACTGATGCTCCCCAACCGATGAACAGCGCGGCTCCCAGCTCCCTCCTCTGAGCGTTGATCATAATGGGGTTGTAGAAGTTTCTGATGACAGTGTTGGCAGACCAGGACACAGGGATCATGCACAGGATACTACTCACGATGAAGAACACACCTGCAGCAATGGCTACTTTGCTCTTGGCCTCCTCATCTTCAATGCAGTTGGTGCATTTTCCCCCTGCAACGGCTAGCATGATTCCAATTAAGGCCACCAAGATGGAGATCACAACCAGGGCGCGGGCAGCTTGAAGGTCGAGGGTCAGAGCCAGCATGGAGTCGTAGACCTTGCACTGCATCTGGCCCGTGCTCTGCATCACGCAGTTCATCCACAGGCCCTCGAAATATGTCTGTGCCGTCACAATGTTGTTTCCAATTAAAGCAGACACCTTCCACATGGGCAGGGCACAGATGATGATGTCTCCAAGAAAGCCGATGATTGCCAGGAAGATGGCCAAAATCTGGAGACCTGCAGATGCCATGTTTTCTCTCTCGTCAAGCAGAAGCTAGAAGGAAATGTAGCTGTTAGAGATCTCACCTGCAGCTTTTATACCCACATGGTAGGCTGTGGTCTCTCCTGATTGGTTATTCAAAATTGTTCAAAGGGTTAGGGTTCAAATTGAAAACACCTGTGCTCATTAAGAGAGTGTCAGGCACCGATTGGAGGAAGTAGAAATGAATTATGTGAAGGTTACACATTTTTTTTAAATGTTTAGCCTTTAATACAAATATAAACTCAATCAATACATTCTGAAATACCTCAACCAATTCCCAACAATGATTTATATATTAATCTACAATATTATCTAATATTCTTTCTCTTTTTCTTGCTAGACCAAGATATTTTCAACAATGGTGAATTTAATGGTTTAATTTACTGGTTTAATTTACTGCAGAGAAAATCTTCCTTATCAATACTGGAGGCAGTTTATATCTAAAACACTTAATTATAAAGTGTGGGAAATACACTCTTTCCCAAGATCAAATCATTTATTTGCTGGAAATATGAGGCCACAGCCAGCAGGTGGAGTTCAGTATCAACACCTTAGCACAGCTTGGCTCTTTGCTAAGCTAAGCAGCAACACAGCTAGCCCGGCTCTTTCAGTAGTAGGCCTTACATTCACCAACATTGTTTTAGAGCAGGGATGGGCAACTTGGATGGTGGTGGGGGCCACATAATGTATGTACTGGCCACCAGGGGGCCGCAGATTCACTTGGAACACACACACACAAATTCCATGTATTGTATGTAATTATTAACAAATTAAGTCTGACATCTTCATTGACATTTTACAATCTTTCAGGGAACATCCTCTAATAAGCTCGCTAAATAAATATCAGTTCACAGAAATGTTATTTAATTTTTACAAGTGGCATGTTTGTATTGAACAGGTTATTTAAC